CTCTCTCTCTCTCTCTCTCTCTCTCTCTCTCTCTCTCTCTCTCTCTGGCTTATTTTAATACTATCATTTTAATACTACGGTTATATAATGGCTATATAAATGTTTTAAATTAAACGAACCAACAAATAAAATTTAAATATGGAGGGAAGTATTTGTGAAACCATAGCATGGACATCTGGGGGAGCATTCTGGTTGGGATAGAGAGATATTCAGGCTTGCTTTCTAACCAATTCACTGGATTTAAGACAACGAAAATGTAATGGAACTGAACAACAGATGGCAGTCTTACAGCAGACAGGAAAGAAAAGTAAGAATTGATGGACACTGAAATATGATTCTACCAATCTCTTTGGGGAAGTAACCTTAGGCTGGGTGTATTACAGAGATTTTTCAGTTTGTTAATTCTGATATTTTGCATATTTGTAACATTTTGTCTTGATGTCCTTGCAACCAAGTTATAAGGACAAGTTTAGAGACATACTGAAGGAGACATTAAATCCTTGTTGCATTTGTCATTTTGAATAGCACAAGGAGCTGCATTCCCTCCTGTTTGTCTTCCTTAAATCAGTACTCTACTTTCTCCTTCCAAATGATTTCATTTACTTCCAGAGATGCAAATATGTCCATAATATTTGGCAGTTTTGAAAAGCCTCCATCCCAACTATGTCCTCATTCTTTGAACGTTTCCTTCTTTTTATAAATTGAGTTGGTGCACCTCCATCTGTTCATTAGAAGTGCTGCCTAGCATTTTTGCAATACTGCTGAAGGGGAAGTAAAGAAGTATTTTCAGCCTTGTCCAACTTAGTACTGCACCATCTACATATTGAATTAAGTGTCCTCTTGCATGTGAAAACAACTCCCAAGTATGCAGATATATCTGATATATTGTGTGTTTATGCAACATATCTTTGTCCAGTGATACAATACATTTATATGCCCACCATCAACAAATTCTCTACAATTGACTAACAATAAAAACAAAAACAAATATTATAAATATGCAAAATATCATAACCCCTCCTTTCAGGTAATAACTACAGGTAGTCCTTGACTTACAACAGTGACTATTCAAAGTTACAACAGCATTGAAAAAAGTGACTTATGACCATTTTTCAGACCTATGACCATTACAGCATCTTCATGGTCATGTGATCAAAATTTGGATGATTGACACCTGAGTCATATTTATGATGGTGGCAGTGTCCTGGGGTCATGTGAACTACTTTTTTGATCTGCTGACAAGCAAACTGCATGGGGAAGCCAGATTAATTTAACAACCAAGTTACTAACTTAACAACTGCAATGATTCACTTAACAACTGTAGCTAGAAAGATCATAAAATGGAGCAAAACTCCCTTAACAAATCTCTCACTTAACAACATAAATTCTGGCGTCAGTTGTGGTCATACATTGAGGACTACCTGTGTAGTGTAAGACTAATCCACAAAAAGGGGTCTAAAAAAGAATCCACATAAGAATATTTAATGTCTATTAATTCTTATTCATCTTTTTTTGCTTTTTCCCCTCTTTTTTAATGTATTAATATCATTATTTTTGTGTGCGAATGTAAAGTACCTTCCATGTGGCTCTCTTAATTTTATTCATAGAAACAACCCTGTGAGGCATGTTGGACTAAGAGAGAATGACCAGCCTCAAGTCACTGATATTGCCAGTATTGGAAGATGAGCTTTTGTAATCCCAGGCTAATCTCTTAACCTTTCTCACCACTGAACTATTCTGTGGTAGGATTCTTTTTTTTTTTACTACCATTTTTGTGGGCGTGGCTTGGTGGGCGTGGCAGGGGAAGGATAGTGTAAAATCTCCAGTCAGAGGTGGTATTTGCTGGTCCTCCGAACGACTCAAGGTTTCCACTATGGTTCTCCAGAACTGGTCAGAACGTGCTGAATACCACCTCTGGAACTGTTCCTCCCAAATCCAGGCCTTGTGGTTATCTGAGCTGTAGCTGCCCAGGTATAATAGCCATAACTGAACTACTGCAAAGAGAAAATATCGGACATGTCTGTATTTCTGTCAGTCTGGCAAGTTTTTGTTGTTGTTGTGATCATTATTTTCAGAAGAAGGTTGCTATGATATGGAAGTTGTTTGCCCTTCTCTTCTTCTTTCTAGTCTCGCCTAGATTGCTTAGTTTCCTGGTGGTCTCCCTATGTAAAACTGAACAGGATTGATCTTACTTAGCTTCTGAATATTAGCCAAGATAAAAATAGTTTATTAGGCCTATTCCATTTTACTCTCATTATATGTTCTTCTACCACCACAGGTAGGAGCCTTACATTTTTCATTCTACCTCAGAAGGATGTAAGGCAGGTTTGTCCAACCTTGGCAACTTCAAGACTTGTGGACTTCAATTTCCAGAATCCCTCAGCCAGCATGGAAGTTAAAGTCCATGAGTCTTAAAATTGTCGAGGTTGGACACCCCTACTGTAAGGCATAGTACTTCTTCAGTGACATCACCCAAAAATACGTGTTTGTGCTTTTTGTTTTCTTTGGGGGTTAGGTTAGGGAGGCTAATGTGAATTAAATTTATCTGAACTTTTGTGCACGGCTCTTGTTTTTGTTTTAAATCCTGGAAATCTACCAAATGTTTGTATTTTCCACGCAATGTTGATGAGATCTGGGGGAGTGGGGGCGTGCAAGAAAAGACCTGGATAAGCTTTATGTGGCCTGCAAACTGGCCACTTCTGCATTGCATCAATACATTGGAGTTCTTTCATACCTTCACCCAGCTGCAGGGCAGGGTCCATAAGTTCCATCATATACTCTACATTGAGAATCATCTCTGTCAGGTCACTGCGGGCCAGAACATACATGAGCACTGGGAGGAAGTCATCTGCTCCATGAGGCTTCCCTAAAAGGAGAACAGAGTTGACTCACTCAAAAGTCTTTGGGAGAGAACAATTGCTTGAACTTAAGGAAGTGTGACTTAGTTGTGCAATCCAAATAACAAGTTCATGAATTAACCAGGCCTTATCCAAATCATTGTAGAGCGTTTGGTTCTTATAATTGCCAAAACATGAACTAGAATAAGTTCTGCTGCCGATATAAACATACAAACTGACTTGGCTGCAATCCAGATTTCCAGGGTCCTTTCACTAACTTCATAGTCTTCATCAGATTTGGATACATTCTCTGAGGTATGAACCCAAGAACAGCACAGTTCGATGATTCCAAAAACTGTTTCTATAACTGCCATCCAGACACTCTGAGGAGTTCATAAGCAGGACAGAACCAGATTCATCCTCTCCTTCTTCCTAATGACTAGTATGCCACCCCTTGCATTAAACTTAACATTCTGACTCTGTACTTCCATGAATTTACTTCATTACCTTTTAAAGCTAAACTTTAAAACCACCACCTCATTTCATGGCAGCAAATGACTATATCCATGATGGCGAACCTATGGCATGCGTGCCAAAGGTGGCACGCAGAGCCATTTGTGCTGGCACGTGAGCTGCAGGCAAACTTACCTCACTGGGCATGCGCATGTCTCACAGCTGATTTTTGGCTGGTTTGAGACCTGTTTCAGCCTCCCAAAGGCTTGAGGAAGGCTTCTGCAGGCTTTGCAGGGTGAAAACTAGCCCCGTTTCATCACTTCCTGTTTTTCCGAAAATACCAGAAGTGACGAAACGGGGCTAGTTTTTGGCCTTCCTCAAGGCTCTGGGAGGCTGAAAAAGGCCTCAAACCAGCCAAAAATCAGCTGTGAGCCACAGTGCAGGTAAGGGGGCGGCGGGGGCAGGTGGGTGCATGGGGATTACGTGTGCATGCATAGAGGGTGTGTGGGAGTGCGCATTGCCTTCTGGGTGCTGGCACACGAGTGCGAGCGTGCAAGCGCGCACACAATTTTTGGCACAGGAGCCAAAAAAGCTTAGCCACCACTGTCTTATATGAAGAAATAGTACTCAGTGTTTTGTGCTATAAAAATACATTTTTGCAGAGTAAGAGTGCAGTTATAACAGTGCTCAGTTACAAGCAAACATAGTGTGGGGAAAGGAATAGAATTCTGACCAGCTAGAATACCGTGAAATTATGGAAAGAGTTATTCTGTGATAAAAATGAACATCTAATTATGGAAGAGATCTGACTATTGTAAATGCTTACTGAGCAGAACTTTACATAAAATATGATAGTCAAACTGATTTTAAAAGTATACCAATGTTGAAGTGACATGCTATGAGATAATCTTCTGTTTCCAGATGTTCTCACCAACCACAGTCCAAAACAGATTAAATCATGCTTTAAGCCCACCGTAATCAATAGGCTTAAGCATGCTTAAGTGGATTTTAGAACAGAGCCATTGGATTTTTAAAATATTTCCCTATATGTCAGAAAACCTCAGAATAAATTGCTTTTCAAGCTGAGATTTATATTCAGATGCAGCCTTAAATACTCTTTTATGCAAAACTCCCCCCCCCCCAAACAAATCATGAGAATAAATGATAAAAAGGAAAATCTGTAGGTTAAGTGGCAGAGCTTAAAAGCATTAAGGCTTCCTTCATAAATTGTACCTTATGGTATCAATAGAATTTCATAATAATCAATCATCTCGTTTTGCAAAAACATAAAACATGATTGCTAAAGAGAAGAAATATTTCATTATTCCAATAATTTTTCGTGAATTTTTTTTCTTTGTACTATATTTCCACATTCTGTGATGACGGAGGAAGCTTTGGGTCTGGAGCGAGACCCAACAGAATGAAACAGCAGTACTTGATACGAGGTGTTATAATGACAGGAGAGGCATAATAGAATCATCAACTCTCCCCTCATTACAATATTCCTGAATATTAGTACCTGGGTTCATCCATCATATATCTGAACAGAGAACTAAAGCAGAACTGTAATGTGCAATTTGTTCTCTTATGCAATAATTGTACTGATTTTGATCATTTGGGAAGAACTAGATAAATTCACTGGGAAAAGAACTATCAGTGGTTGCCACATTCTGTAATGGAAGTTTTGCCTCCAGAATCTCAGCCATGACTGCCAAAAATAATAACGAAAGCCAGCTGCATGAACTTGGGCCAGTTACTCTTTTGCAGCCCAATTCACTTCACAGGGTACTTGTTGTGTGGAGAAAATAGGAGAAGGAAGGTGTGTTGGATATGTTCACTGTCTCCAGTTATTTGTAAAATATATATATATATAGGAGACAAGTAGATAGATGATAGATAGATGGTAGGTAGGTAGGTAGGTAGGTAGATGATAGATAGATGATAGATGATAGATAGATAGATAGATAGATAGATAGATAGATAGATAGATAGATAGATAGATAGATCTATGATAGATAGATAGATAGATAGATAGATAGATAGATAGATAGATAGATAGATGATAGATAGATAGATGATAAATAGGAGAGGATGGGGAAAATATGACTGCTTTTAAACTTGTTATTTCTTCCTTTTCTGAGTATTTTTTTAGTGAACTTAGATACACTATTAGAGTTAACTATAGTTTGAAAATATGGTTGATTTTTTGGTAAGTTTTCTTTAAGATTTCCCTACCCCGTTGCTCTTTGGTACATCATTTTGAACTCCACCCAGAGAAAGTTGCAATTAGTCATTGGACATTTCCTCACAGCCATATTGGCATAATTCTTCCCATCCCTGATTCAATAGTTATGTATACTGGCATAAATTACATTGCACAGATGGCTGTACTATATTCTGTTTTAGTGATAAGGCTTGAAAGAGGGCAAAGTTTCGTTCTCCGAGCTTGTGGGTTGATTTCTGAACGTTTTTAGGGGATGTCAGTGTCGGTGTTCCTCTGTTTATAAGGCTTCAGATGTGGGTGTGTCAAGTGAGGGTCTTGTGATGGGTCAACCTTCACAAGACCCCTCACTTGACACACCCACACCTCAATCCTTATAAACAGAAGAACACTGACATCCCCTGAACTCAGCTGACGATGTTATCTAGCCTGGTAACGAAAACATTCAGAAACCAACCCATAAGCTCAGAGAACGAACCTTCACTCTCACCCTACATCCAAGCTATAGATATTCGCCACTATTGCATAAAGTTTGAAAATATCCTGCTCTTATATTATATGTAATATAATATAATCCTTACATTATTCCATATTATATTATATGTAATATAATGTAATATGGAATAATTTAAGGACAATAATTGATGCACTTTCCTGGCTGCCTCATCTCTTTACCCAGCATCACCTGTATGCAGGAAAAGCCACTTCCAATTGCTGCTCTTAACATGTAATGGGACAGACCTGGCCAATTGTGGGCAGTTTCCTGGGATGGAGACTTTCACCACCTTTCATGGTGCTCTAGTGATAGATCATCCATGTTGGAAAATCAACATTGCTGACCTGCTGCTCAGGCTGTTTGTGAACATTGGTCTATTCTTCCAGTGGAGCATTACATCTTTGTCTCAAACTAGCTTAGTTGACAGATCAGTAGATCAGAGAAAGGGGTTGGGAGACATGGGATGGAGCAACACTTTCTGTTTTAATATACACAATTCTTAATACACCTGTCCATCAGGATGGAGGAGTAGCAAAGAGCATCAGCTGATCTCCCTCCCATGTACCTCTGCCATCCCTCTGAAGTGTTGTCTTGGGACAAAATTCAAATTGCCATATTACTATGGATTGTTATATATATTAAGCACAAAGTATACATGGGACCTTTCCCTGTTCAGAGCTGAAGTGCTACCCACCCATCCTTGAGTCTGCAAAAAAAAAAAAAAACCATTATCAATACAAAATTAATGTCCCTGTTGACAGTCCTTCTGAGGAATACTGCCTCTGTTTCACGACAGTAGAATTACTTGACATCCCTCCAAAATAACATGTTACAAAACCTAAAACATTTTACAACACTTTGAGGCTGTGGTCAGATGTGTTAATGTAAAGGAGGAAATGCTGCTTTACCACAAGCGCAGCGAAGAATCACTTAAAGCTGCCTCACTCATGGACTGTGGACAAGATAAAGTCAATGGCATGGGAACACATTTTTTAAAAAAAATACTGCTGCTAAGTATGATGCGATTAGAAGGAAGAAAGGGACCACAAGTTATCTAGAAAAAATAGAGGTTTTATACTATCTTTTCCAGACTTGGGTGCCCAGATAAGGGGGACTCTCGAACTAGAACAGTTCATGGTTGTTAAATTATCTGCACATATTAGAACCTCAGATGTGTCCTGCTGCGCATGGATCAAGCCAGGAAAAGATATCTGAAGAGTGTCTGACAGGAATTATGCTTAGCACACACTGGTGGGACTATATTCTGGATTCTCTAGAGAGCCACTTAGTTCAGGCAAAGGGGAAATGATTGAAGCTTCTACTATGGCTGAATTGTGTGCGAGCACATCTTGTGAAGTGCAAATAGTGGTCCACAGTTGGTGAGTGCTAGATTGAACGATGCTAGGTTATGGAATGTGCCAGAGAGACAGGTTATATTCTCTAGTATTTGTCTTTCTGCGAAGCAAGAAAGGAAAGAGAAGAATCTGTGGAAATCTGATTGAATTCTCCGTCTGCTGTGACCTCTGACCAAATTAGCAGCTGTAAATCTTTCAGGGATTCCTTCAGTGACACTGGAAACAGACTTCCTTGCTCAAGGTGAAACTGCCTTATTCCAAATCCAGCTTGTCTTCTTTTTTGGTTTTTGTTCAAAGAAATGAAACATTGTCTCATAAATATCTATAAGAGGCTTAAAATAAACACCCTTCTCCTGTGCTGTAAAGCCCCATGCTATTATCGTCTCCTAGTTAAACTCTGCTGGATCAACCATTAATTGTGATTGGACTGTGGGGCTCGGAAGAAAGAGGTATTTAATAATTGAATGCAGAATTTAGAGGAATTGGAATCCTTCCCAGATGTCCATAAAGGAATGAAGAATCTTTCCTCACTTATGGGTAAACGTGCGTCTCCCTTAGTTTTGTGGTAGAACCGGATAAATAATTAATGGAGTTGATAGCTATGTGTTGATTTCAAAATACTTTACAAACATATTTAATCAAACTATTCAAATATTACGCTCTCCAGGAAGAATACAACTTTTCTAAAAAGAAAGAAATCTTGTCTTTCATAGTACAGCGAAATCAGCCTCTTAGTAATGAATTTCAGATCCCGATTACAGATTCAGGCTGCAATACAGGTAGTCCTTGACTTACAACAGTTCAATTAGGGACAATTCAAAGGTAACAACAACACTGAAAAAAGTGACTTACGATTGTTTTTCACATGACGTGGCAGCATCCCCATGGTTATGTGATCAATATTCAGACACCTGGCAACTGCCTTGTATTTATGATGGTTGCCATGCCTCTGAGTCATGTGATCACCTTTTGTGATCTTCTGACGAGCAAAGCCAATGGGGAAGCCAGATTCACTTAGCAATCCTGCTACTAACTTAACAACTGCACTGATTCATTTAACAACTGTGGCCAGAAAAGTCATAAAATGGGACACAAAACTCACTTAACAGCTGTCTCGCTTAGCAACAGAAACGTTGGGGTCAATTCTAATCGTAAGCTGAGAACTATTGTGCTACTGTACCTTTATGATGGTATTATATAACAGGGGTCTCCAACCTTAGGCCCTTGAAGCCTGGCGGACTTCGACTCCCAGAATTCCCCAGCCAGCAAAGCCCAAGGTTGGAGACCCCTGTTATATAAGACTTCCAAAGTCCTAGCAGGCTGGAGCAGGCTATACATTTTATTAAAATAAACAAACTTTGCTTGATTTTGTTTCTGGACTTATTTGGGTGACTTTCCAAGATACTGTATAACATGATAATTTTAACTATTACTTTCTGTTTTTTTATTGTTTTCTATATGGATACTTGTGTTTACTTCAGCCATTTCTGTATCTGCTCGGATACCCATGACCAAAAGTTTTGAAGGTTCTGTTATATCTAGCACAAATTTACACTAATCATCATTGTCACTTTATCAGAATAGCTATTAATATTTAAAAGTATGACTGTTTTTTAAAAGGGTTTTTTAAATACAGTACCTGGGTTTCCTTGAGTCATAGAATCATAAATGAGTTTGCAAGACTTCAGGAGAATGCTGATTTTCTTTTCTGGAGAATAAGCCTTGGTCATGGTTGTGAATTTATGGAATATTCTCTCCAGCAATGCAGATTCAGGCACACTAGTGGTGACTCCCAAGTCGGTTGTAGTTGTATTTTGTATGACTTGCTGGTTTTCCTTTAGGAGTTTGAAAGATCCATCTTTGTTATGGATTTCCCGTAGGTAAATATCAATGGGCACTTTTAAAGGCTTCAAGACACATTTGTGCAAAGCTGATTCTATTATCATCTCTGGAAAAAAGGGAAAATAAAACACGTCAAAGGAATATACAAGAGAGCAGCAACGTAATAAGACCAGAATATTCAGACTTTGGAACCCATAGAGATTTACATCAAGACAGCTAATAATGACTCTGTTGTTTTATCTGCCTTGATCCTGACCTCAATTAACTTTCACAGTAAGATGTAATTTTTGGTTTTCTCTGCCATCATTCTGAGCATCTGTCCATATTTGTACAAATTCCATTAGCCGTTTTATAATCAAATTTGAGGGACTAGGTTTTGGTGAAGTCAGAGATAGGTCTTCTCTGACCAAAGGCTATTTGTAAATACAATAAACACCATATTTCATCAGCACTTGAGCTAAGACAGAGCTTTTGTCAAGCACCATGGAAATCAGGAGATCCAGGCAGTTCAAATAGGAACTCATGACTGATGATGCATTTGACCCCGCCCCCCTCACTTGGGCTCAGCCTGGTCATCTCCTACAGCTATAGTGAACAGATGCAACATGTATGTAGGTATGTATGTAGGTATGTATGTATGTTCCTCATTTTTCTGCTGGGAATGCTGAAATTCTGGACTTGATTAATACAAGTCTCAAAATACTTTAAAATACTGTTGTTTAGATTATAGCAAACTAAAAATTAGGTTAGGTTTAACATTTAATAAATGCATAAAAAAATCAATCAGTTTCTCCTGCAAGTTCACTCATACCTTTTAATTCTTACCAAGGTCTTTTTACAGAGATGGGGAAAAGAAAAGAATTGCCTCAAGCCATTCTTCTGGAAGGGGCTCTATACAAAGTAGTGTTCAATGTTTGAGATATCCAGATAGACAATTCACTTAAGAAAGTATAGATAATCAATTAAAACAGAATATCAAAGAAGGTGCTTTTTAAAGTATTTTTTAGTTTTTTCATATGTGCTTGGTTTACTGGGAATTGAATGAAGTAGTCAAAACATAGTGAAGAAAACATAACATGGGCATTTAAGGCAATGAGAATAGAGTAGACTCAAAGGAAAGTTAAATTCACTTATCTATGGGCTAGAAGATTTCTGTCATTTTGCCAAAAGATCTTCGCATTCTTTTAAGAGATGAAAAGGTATATTTGGAAAATTATAAGTGAAAATTGGTCTGGATGTAACAAGCGAAGTAAGCTCAGGGATATAGCTTCAGCATTTTCCCCCAAGCAGTTTCAAGTAATTTCCCAGGGAGTGGCATATTGTAAAGAATTGGAAGCTTTCTATACAAAAATATGGAGATCAGTTCTAGATCAGGAGGAAATATTAACAGCATGATTGTGTAAATAGATGATTCTGTAGGAAGTGGATATGTGGTGGAGCAATTCTTAAAACTTTCATTTCCACATGAAACTCATAGTTGTTTTGATAGCTGCAAAACAAGTATTTTGCTCATGGAATTATTCCATGAAGTATTTCATGAAATACTTTTGCAATCCTAATGTTGAATTCTGCAGGGTAATAGTTCA